ATTACGCAAAAAAAGAAAAGTTGGGGATATATTTAAAAAAAATATAAAATGGAAAAAAAAAAAAAAAAAAAAAAAAACGTGGCAGTAACAAAAAAAAATTAAAAGTAAAAATACCATGTCGAAATGAATGAAGAGGTAGCCATTTTGGTGACCTTACTTTTTTCTTCCTTTTTTGCATTCCCTCTTGAAGTGAAAAAATTGCATTATGCCTTCCACCCGATAGGCATTCCAAATTCGCATAATGTTGATTACGCCAGGCGTATGTAGGATAGCACATACAAACACGTGCACATTCCTCCCCAAGAATGTTTTCTACTTTGTGAAATTATTCAGAGGAATGCATGACAATTGAGGCTGCCTAATGGCAGCTAAGTCACAGCTACGTGATGATCGTCGCATACTGTCATACTTTTTCCTGCCCCTCTACAAAAATAAAAAACAAACGGATTGAGACGACCAACAGGGAAGGGGAAAAGTCGTATCCACGCAATGTAAGAAGGGGACCTCTTCTGCCTCCCCCTTTTTTTTTTGTCTTTTAAAAGTTGCCCAAGAATAGTTTCACCGTTGCACAGTAGGGAAAACGTCCAACCGCACAGTTGCTCATTTCGAACTGCGCACCTAGCCCCGCTTGGCTCATATGCAAAAATGTTAAAAAAGCAGACGAGTCTGCTTGGGAACTGACAGGTTCAACGTGATCACCACAAATGCCTTGGTGGGATCTTGAACTATATTGTATTAAATTACACCGTTCCAAAGTTAAAAAAAAAAAAAAAAGGAAAGTAGAAAAAACGAAAAATGGCGTAAAATTAATGAGGCATAAATTATATCGTACAAAGGCGCATGTACAACACGCGTAAAAGTCTTCATATATAAAAAAAAAAACTTTTTAAAATGAGCTAACATAGAACTAATATGTTTGTATTACTAGGACGAATTAAAATGAGAAAAGAAATCTCATATATATATATGCTCGATGGAAAAAAACACCTAGCATATGCAATTTTCTTCAATTCCTACACACATACAGATTTTACACGTGTTTCTGCACGCGCGTAAAGCTGTTCATACACATACATACGTGCATACAAATGTGCACATTCCCATTAACTCATCTCCCACGTAAGGTGTGGGGTGGCGGTGTGCTATTAACCACACCAGTAGAAACACGCTAAATGCGTTTGCAGGGGGGAAGCCAGGGGCCGCATTAAGCGCTGCATATACATAATATATCATACGTCTACAATCATATTTAAAAAAAATGTTCCAAAAATGTAAAAAAAAGGGAAACACAAGGTGAAAGGGGGAGAGAGAAAAGGGACGAAAATGGATGAAAACGGGCGGAATTCCTGCCCTAAAAAAAAATTAACGACCCAAGGTTGCTGCGTGAGGATTATTCAAAGACGGAACAAATTGCGGGTATTTAGGGCCTGCAAAAGGTAGGAAAAAGGGGGAAAAATGAGTATGCTATATGAAGTGTGTACATAATGATATGGGATGGGGTGACAAAGGAGCACACACAAACGGGGGTGGAAATCTATATGTAGGACGAAAAGTGCCCGAGCCACACCTCTTCGTTCCACACTAAACAAACAGAACTGTACGATTCAAGTGTGGCAAAAAAAAAAAAAAAAAACTACAGAGCACTCCACCAATTGGGCACGCCCATACAAACGCACAACAGATGATGAAGCCACTTTCACAAAAAGGGGGCTACAACTAGCGTGGGTTGTAAAGAATGAGCCCACATGCTTGTGCTCATAATTTTTTATCCGCAAGAATTGTCACTCTGTTAAGCTACTTACAAATTTTTGCTAAGAATTCTTTTAAAGACATCATCATGTGTTGGGATCTGTCCTCAATTAGGCACGCGAAAAATCTACGCAGGAGGGGAAAGGAACAAAGCACACAACAAAAATGTGATGAAGAGGCATGAAACGAAGATAAAACAGAAATGCCAAATGGCCAGTTATAACATACATATGTGGATGCAATATACGCGCAGACACTACGCTGCCTCGTGATTGTTTACTTATATTCCAGGGGGTCTCCTTGCTTTACAACTAACAGCCTCATGTAGGACGGAGTCCTTATTTTCCTCAAGGCGTTTATTATGTTCAGTATTTGCATACCAGTGGGGTTTCCGCTGGTTCCTACAGGGAGGGGAAGGGGAGAGAAAGCAAAATGGATAATATTTCGCTACTTAGCAGCATGGATAAAACTGCGCAGTGGCGTATCATCCCGTGTTCGCAATACATATGTGGCCTCCCCAATTACCTAAATGATTTTCTGCGTATTCCGAATTTAACTGTTCCAGTGACTGGACTCCGAAGACTTCGTAGATCCACTGCGGGTTGATGCTTCTGTGAAAGGGGGGAGGAAGGGAACATGGGTGTAACAGTTTACACACAAAAAAGGATACGACACAAACACGTCGTGATGGTGGTCGTGGTGCGTGAACTAGACGCAGAAGGAGGCACATAACTTACCGGCCAATCCACATAATCATGTTCTCGCCATCCTCAACAATGTAGCAACCGTCCTGAGTCATATTCTCGCAGGTCAAACTCATGGTGTCGGGAAACATCATAGCATTATTATCATCATAATTCCCGTGGTGCTTCTCCAAGTTATGTAAAGAAAACATTCTAGGGTAAAAATAGGCCTCCACAGATTCGACGGGAATATTCTGAACCCTAGACCAGTGATAGATGCGGACATCGGGTGGCACATCCCCACTGTCCCTAAAGGCAACCGATTTGAGCATTCCTAAAACGTAAATGGATAACAACCTAGCCGTTTCAGAAAGGAGCAACTGGGAAGATAATACTTGTGAGCAAAGAGTCTGAATTAAATGTCTTCCATCTGCAATTTTTCCTTTTTTACAAATATCAATAGCTTGATGAGAGAGTAAAGATACCACAACTTGTGGGTTAATAGAATCCGTTATCGTCTTAATATTCTGAGTGACGGGTAGGGCATAGGTATGTAACCTTATTCTTCTTTCCCCATTCGAATTTGTGTATAACAAGGCAGACTGCACATACACCACAGAATCTTGTACTACGTTTTCTTCCAAATCAACAATGATACTAAAACTTTGACTGGAGTGACAATTGGGTAGGGCTAATAAGTCCACTCCCCTAAATTGGAAATTTCCATACCAGTTGGTTATTTTCCATCCTCTACTTATTCTTATTCTCATTACGGACTCCCATGCAGTTTCTGTTGTCAACGCGAAGAGTAGTTCCTCCCTCAATTTGTCACTATACTGATGTACGTTAAATTGGGGGTAGTAATAAAGCGACCCTCCAGAATTTTTTACCAACGGGTAGATGGTTGCTAGGTCCATGTTGTACAAAGGGCAAGCAAACAAATCAACGGCTATCTGATATTGGGTAATGCTCTGTGCCATCTCTGTATACAAATTATTAAAGGGAGTTAACATTTCTATTTCCTTCACTTTTGAATCCACCACATTATTACTGGAACTACCTGAGCTGTAAATGTTTTTGTAACTACTGGTTTTCTCCTTTGTCTCCCTATTCACACTCACGGTCAAATCTCCAATATTTGGTGGAGAGGATAAAACAAATACAAGTTTTCCCCCCACTTTTTTTAATACCATTATTGCTGCTTTTAACGCATTGCCTGCACAACAATCGGTCAGTTTGTTGTTCCTCCACATGGTTGGTAAATTGTCTAACAATGTGTCAATCACATTTTGGCACTCATGTGCATTCACCAAAATATCTTCCGGTAAGGGGATGAAGATGTCCTGTATATCTGGAACAACCATCATTTGCGTTTGCTTCAAATTCGAATTCAGGTTGTAAAAATGGACAGTTGAATCAAATGTCATTATTCCTATTAGTGTTCTTGAGTCAAAAGGTTTTAAGCCATTCACATCACCACCGCTATTATCATTACCACTTGCGGGGCTGTTCTTTGGTAGCAGCTTCTTAATTGTACTGCATACCACATCGAGTAGACCCGAGTTAACCGACGTCACTGTTACATCAATGAGGAATAAATAAACGGGTGGCTGGGGAGGTCTGATCATGTAATCACTTGGCGCAATGAATTCCACACTGCCAGTACATAACTCTGGCCTTTGAAAAAGGTCCTTCCTCTTTCCTTTCTCATCCAGGGGAGTGAAATAAAATTGAGGAGTGTCATTCACATGGTAACACATATTACAATTCCATTTCTTCCCTCCTCCTTCAAATCTTACAAAGGGGTTAACATACGTCCTGCATTTCTTACACCTTACAACTGTGGAGTTGCCAAAATTGACGGACGCTAACTCTGGGTACCCATCTGGAATGGGGGCTAAAGGTTGTATTACGAACCCTAATGGTACATAAGCCTTCTGTTTTAGAGTCGTATTTGCTGGCATATAATTTACCGAACTTTTCACAAAATGGGAAAAGGCATTAAATTGTAAAAACTCCTGATACGAATCGTTGATTATAGGTTGCACACTATTTACATGTCCACCTCCTGTGTTGTCATACCCTAAAACATTTCCTCCTGGTTTTAACATATTGTTATTGTTCATTACTGGCATGAACTGACTTGCCACCCCTCTGTACTGACCTTGATTACTTAAATACGCATTAGGGTTACTTCCGTCTCCGTACATATTATCACTTACAGGAGGGCCACCCATGTTGCCCTTATTCATTCCGTATATTCCTGGTTGCATTGCTTGTGGTGGGTGGTAATAATTTGGGGGGTAGGCTCCTTCATTTCCTTTCACATTTCCACCACCCGTATTTGCCATGTGCGCATTACTGCCGCTGTTATTATTGTAAAAGAAGGGGCTATTCATGGGCTTGTTTACGCTGCCCGGGTTGTGACCATAATTCCCTGCATTACCACCACCACTGTTGTTGTTGTTATTGTTGTTACTGCTACTGTTGTAGTTGTTCCCCCCCCTGCTATAATCATATGGCTGCATTTTGTCTTCAAACAGGGGTATAAAAAGGTGGGGGAGAAGAAAGCAAAGTAATGGTGCCTTACAATTCCGTTTGTCTTATAAACAAATCGGCTGTTTCAACTTTTGCGCAGACAGAGCGTCAGTGGGAGAGAAATTTACAAGGAGTATGGGTCTTCATGCGCAACATGAGGCTATGTGCAAAAGGAAAGGGCCCTCCAAGGGTAGGGGATATGCACCTGTATGCTTCTAACCAGCGCACGCGTCAACATGGGCATGTGCACTTGGTTCGCTAAGTAGTTGCATTAACCAGCACAAACCAAATGCATTCTTCCCCCGTTGTATACGCCCTGCTCGATCTTCCTGTATGCATAAACACACACGCAGTAATATACTTTGCAAATATATGTTTTATTTTTTCTCTCTCTCTCTTCCGAGGCCGTTATAATAACATCCGCTAGTGCATACCTGCGTGTGGTGATTTGTGCTTAATTAGGTAATTATATATATTTTCCCCCTAACTTGGTACTATGGTTATACTGTACTTTTTTTATGTATAAGCGGTTTTTCCCCCGTATTTCATTTTTATTTATTTTTTTCTTTTATCTTCCCTTACGGCAATTCCTTTCTGGCCTTCATTAAAACCTTTTCGCGTGCTTTCCTTAATGTATCATATATAAACTATGCGCATTCACTTTTTACGAATATGCAAAAAAAAAAAAAAAAAAAAAAAAAAAAAAAAAATATTAGCACTTGCGTAAACCTTCGCGCCATTCACCAATTGCGCAATAGGCCTGTACCGATTACATGCATGTTATTATATGGCCAATGTATGGTAACTCGCATAAGCATATGCGCGCTTGGCGTAGGCCGAAAAGGCGAGGCTGCGCACTTGTCAGACGTAGCGCCACCACTGCCTTCTGGTACAGTATTGTACATGCGAACAGGTGACACAAATGTCGTTCAACTTGTGGTTGGCCGAGGTGGCACGAAAAGTACTTGTGCGCCAAGTGGATTAAACGCAGCTAGCAACTATATCACAGTACCCCCATTTTACGTCACCTCAACTCTGAACGATGGACCGCAAACTTCCTCGACACGTACATATATAAATATACATTCATGTTACATATTATACGCAGCATATTATTTTACTACATATTACGTATTATTCGTTATGTACTTGTATATTGTACAGTTCACATGCGGAGCGCAAAAACGCGTTCGCTTTTTTCGCAGCAGTTTTGTTGGGCGCCTTTTTTAATGCTGCACTTGGGGCATCACTTATATACTGCATGGCGTCGGCATATAAAAATATATTATATTATATTTATGTACGTATGTGGACGTCATGATTGTCGCAATTCCTTTGCAGGGGAAAGTAGTGGCCAGGAAAAAATAAAAAGATCATTCTGCGTTACGGCGTTTTTTTTTTTTTTTTTTTCTTTTTGTGTTGAAAATGTGCGTGTACATTACGTTTTGCGCGAAAGTTCATTGTAAAATGGACTTCAACCGATTAGCGTATACACAAATATAAGTAGGCTGTACATGTGTTATTACGTATATACATGTGCACATTTTTGCCTTATGTCCTTCGCCGCATTGTGGGGACACTTTCTTTCTCGCAGTTTCGCTCAGCTTCCTTTTGTTTTTGTTCCCACGCTGCTCCGCTTCGCGCTTGCCCGCACCCTCTCTTGGAAGGGAAGGAAAATAGCGGCAAATGTACGCAGTTATATATACAAATTTAACAACGTAAAAACGCATTTACCACGTACAACTGGTGTCCGCCTTACACGTGTGTGACATTGCTTTAAAGTGTCATCGTTTTATTTTGTCCCATTTGTTTACGTAAATTGTGTTGACACTTTTAACATACTTTGACTTAATTTCCGCTTTTATGTTCCTCTTTTTTTTTTTTTTTTTTTTTTTTTTTTTTTGCGTTTTCTTTCGCCCCCATTAATCACTTCCCTATTTGTGTTGTCGCAAAATTACACCCGCGGTGAATCAAGCGGTGAACGAAGCGCTTCATTCACAGGGTGGAGGGATAGAAAAAAAAAGAAAAGATTAAAATGGCTGTTTAACAGTTTAACCTCGAAATATGTCGCCAGTGCATCAACTGGTAGGTAATAATCAAATGGGTACATTGTGCCCTCGTGAAGGGAAAGTATACAATCGCGTTTACCCCTTGGTGTGCGTATGTAGTTCCTCCGAAGGGGTTCCCACGAAATGTCAAATAATATTTTCTCACATTTATATGTGAGTATGTGTCACGCCCGTTTCGAACCAGTGGAACCACTCCAGGTACTCTGATAATGCATCTTAAAAACGACTTGCATGTTTAAACAGCCTAGACAACATACTCCATGCAAAACCACCCCCCTTCACCAATTAAACAAAGGTGCCAATATGGCCAAAAAGTAAAAAAAAAAGTTCACTTCTATATTTGGAAAAGATGTTTAGTAGACGGCAGGGGAAAAAGCGACACATGGACAAAAGCGAAATGGGTATAATAAAAACACAAAAGACAAGGCACCAAAAGAATACCCCTATAAAGGCCGCTCCTTACGTGTCACTTGCAAAAGTACCAGGTTGAAATATGACCCATCGAAACGAGCTTTCTAAATGTGCTGTCGTATGTGCAGCGGAAAAAGGGGTTTCAATGCGTCCATCTGTACGTGTCCCTGTAAAAGCTCGAATACTCCCATGGCAAACATACCATGACATTCACACTTTTCCCCGTTGCTACAAGCGCATTGCGATCACCATATGTCATTACCCCCTAGAAGCCTCACTAGGGAACGCAACCCTTTACGTGATAATCCAGGCACATGACGCTGCAGACGGTTACAGGGTCATTCTAAAAATTGTGCCGCACTCGCAAACACGAAAAAGAAAAAAGAAACAAAAAAATTTCATTACGCTGGTATTAATTCGAATTATGACAGATCAGATGGACCAACATTTGTGACTGCGCACGGGGGGAGCCCCTAAAATTGCCATAAACACTTCTTAACCCCTTTGTGAAAGTCACTTGGGGGGTGGCATTACATTATTTGGGAAACCTGCTTACAGGATGCCTAAATGGCACCAAGTATACCCCCCTGAAAGTAGGTTTAACCTGCTTGCTACATGGCCAATTTAAGTACATCCTTTTATATATACACGCCTGCAACTGGGTCAGAACAATAAACAACGTCGGATTGACCCCCAATTTTGTGAGCACTTCATTTCATGCGTCGTCAAGGCACTCGCGGGTTTAGGAAAAAAAAAAAAAAAAAAAAAAAAAAAAAACAAATTCCATATCTATGCGTATATCCTATGTACGTTTTGTGTCCTTTTTCAGAGAAATCGCGCAACCTTCCGCTCCCTACATTGTTGCTTTAAAACTTCGTTTAACAACACTAATTGGATCGGCATGTGGCATTCAAAGCGGACCCGACTTCTAATACAGTGTTGAGGTAAACACTTTTTTTCTCAATGCTGTTAAATCGTATTCCCCAATTTGTGAAAAAATACATTTCCAAGCAGGGCACATCTCTGTACAGTTAAAAAGAAATGACTTACGTCGAGGTTCTTTTTCGCTAAAATGTAAATGTGAAGGACACCCCCCCATGCGAGTGTCGCCTTTTTCCAAAAAAAAAAGTAGAAAAATTACACGTACAGAAATTAGAGCAATAAAAATATATATACAGCCCAGCACCACGACAGCCACAGCTCTGAACAGGACGGGGAATATACTTAGCGACTTTACGGAGTGGTGGGGTCGGGTTAACCAAAATGCCGCTGAAGAACAAGTACGGGGTTTTAAAAATTGGGATAGAGTACGATTACAGTGGTGGGGACTGCCATGAGATAGACGAGTTGAGTCCAGATTTCTTCGTAACTAAGCTGTTTAAGGAAAACCAAGAACACAAAAATTTGCTAAACCTTAATGGCTGCTCCGCTTCACCATGCGCAACTTTGAACACATATAAAGTAGACCCCCTTTTTGGTGACAAATTTGAAGATAACGACATTTGGCAGAAAAATATTTATGGGCTCACGTCTGAGTGGATCGATCCAGATAATGAGAACGAGCATCTAAGCGCATACTCGCTCGATGCGCTAAACAAAGAAATGCAATGGGCCAGTTACATATCCATATCACACCTAATTATTAACCCTCCCTCTTACAACAAGTGCGATAATTATGCTAGATGCATCAACGCAAATATTCACAGCTACAATGGGGTGTCTGTCATTGTGAAAGTGCCGCTAGCAATACGGGTTGAAAGGGAGGCACTTATGAATAGCCCCCACGGCGGAGGCTCATCTTCCCCCCTGAGTAGTACCCCTGAAGGGGAAGCATCCTCCTCCTACCAAACTTTAAATGGCTGGAATTTATGGGCAAATTTTATCCCCTACTGTAAACACAATTTTTCTAATTTGAGCGTTGCTATAGAATTAGTAAATCTTCAACATGTCGATATTTATAGAATCAATTTAGATGTATGGAAATCTGAACCCGTGAAATTAATTATCATACCTCTGAGTGTATTTGCAGTTGATTCTAAGACAGGATATCCTTACCTACCCAAAAAGTTAAAAGACCTATTAGTGTACTTTTTTAGAAAAAATATCGAAATTGTCTTAACAGGAATGGGAAAAAATGAGTACCCATTTCTGAATGGCTTGAAGAAGGAAGAAACGTACAATAGCGGTCCTCTTCACTCTGATGTGCATCACCTCAAGTGTTGCATTTATTACTTAAAAAGGCTTTTCATGTCTATTGAAAATTTTGATAATGAAACCCTTTTTGATAATGCCTATTGGGACTATTTGCAAATCCCGTTGCAACCCTTGAAGGACAATTTACCTTCCCAAACTTACGAGATTTTCGAAAAGGACAAAACCAAGTATGAACAATATGAATTAGCCATTTGTAAGTACTTGGCGACGGAACTGCAAAAAGGGGGAGATAACAATGTGAAGGGGAGACACAGAGACGTTGTCATTTTTGTGGTGGGTGCAGGAAGAGGACCACTAGTAGATTGTACTTTGCAAGCCCTAGAACAAAATAAAATCTCCAAATTTCAAATTTACGCAATAGAAAAAAATGATAGTGCCATTTTAGTGTTGAAAAATAGGGCTGCCAGCAACCCCACGTGGAAAAAAGTTAACATAATACATAGCGATATGAGGTATCTCGAAATGGACAAGAACGCAGATCTAATCGTAAGTGAATTGTTAGGGTCCTTTGGAGATAATGAATTATTTCCTGAATGCTTGGATGGAATACAAAAGTATCTCCAGGACGATGGAGTGAGCATTCCGCAAAATTGTGTGTCCTATATGGAACCCATTTCTTGCTCACAAATATACCACAAAATAGCCCAAAATAATTTCACAGGATATAATGAAATATTTTACATTGTTAATATGTACTCTTATTGCAAAATTGCGAATGAGGAACCGGCAGAATGCTTCACTTTCCAAGTCCCCAACGAAAATGTCACAAAGGACAACTCACACAATAATCGTTACAAACGTCTCCACTTTACCATTAATATGGACTCCTACCTACATGGATTCTTATGCTATTTTAAAAGCCACCTCTACGACGATGTATACCTATCCATCGAGCCTAATACATACACGAAGAATTTACACAGCTGGTACCCTTTATATATTCCCATAAATCAAATTTTGTATCTACAGCAGGGGCAGACCTTGTCCATAAGTATTTGGCGCCTGACGGATAACCACAAAATTTGGTACGAGTGGTGTGTTAACGAACCGCAGGCAACGTGCATTCACAACTACAATGCGAAGCACTTTTCCATTGGTCGATGAGAGGAGAAATAATAACCTATTAGCACCATTCCGTGGCGACAGGCTCCCACAGGGGAAAAACCTCCTAAGCTTCCGCTCTTTACCGTATTGTTTTCAATTATAATTTGCTCCTGTTTGCCATTTCCTTGGCACCTGGAGCAAGCTTAATCAGTTTGCTCCTTCCCAAAAGAGTGCCTCAAATTGGGGCGCATCAACAGATGCATATCCCCCTTACTAATGTAGCCTGTCAATATGATCATATTTGAGACGATTTTTTGTTTTTTTTTTTTTTTGTTACTATGTGGGGGGTCATCAAAGCACATGCAAGAGGTTCTCCATCAGCATTTTATACAGCCCCTTCGCTGCAGCATCTGCACATGTTACGAGTTTACCCATGCCATGGCGTTCAGACTCAAAATGACAAGTAGTGTAAAACCCCATCCCAACGGGGTTTGCCCTATATACACACCAACCGGAGCACACATATATACTCCGTATCGCACGACATCCCTAAGCGTGCGCTTTACGGATGCCCCCATCGCTACATAACCCCCCTCACCCAAAACCCCTTCCCTCAATTTCTTCGTGTTTGATGTGATGTTTCCTTTTTTATTTTTGCCCTCCATCTTTTCAACTATTTCTCCTCACACGTAATTCGTACTGTTGGAATTAACAACTCAAGTGTGCCATCACGCAGATGTAGCATTTGTGAACATCCTTATTCCCACCTCGCGCATGAAAACGAACAATCTTACATTAACCCTAAGCATGAACTGAGAACACGTAACGAAAAGAAAGCTTAAAGGTCCCCCTTCATATATTTCTCTTCCTACCTAAGCACATATGGGCTTTTGTTGTGAGCGTATGCGCAATTCCCTTTGTGCATTTTTTTCAACGCGCGAAGAGCTCATACTGCAAGTGTGGCGAACATGAACAAATACGCACCTACCTGTATAAAAGATTAAAATTGTGAAATGGAAAAATGAATGACCGTTTCCCGCATGCCCGATCAACAAATTTGCAACGCTACACAAACGAGAGCGTTATAAAAATGCAGAACGGATCACCAATTTATCACGTCATCACAAAAAAAAAAAAAAAAAAAAAAGCGTGGTAGGTTTTATAATAATGGCCGCAAACGTATGTGTAATTCAAAGAGGGAATAATCTAACCGGTGTATGCAATTTTATCCCGACATATTAACAACACAAATTATTTGACCTTCCCCTTTTGTGCACTCCAGCATGTATAGTTGTTAAAGAGTTACATTTTTGTGAATTTTTTTTTTTTTTTTTTTTTTTATCACTGGATTAATGCTTTACGTATTTGTAATTTATTATTTTTATCATGCACAAATTTGCGACGCACAACTTTATGGCTTACAACTTTTCTGGAATACCACATGTGACATACCAACTAACAACGTACAAAAAATGATGCACAGCAAATGATGTACAAAAAAATGATGCACAATTAATGAAGTACTTTTAACAAATAAATATTTTATCCCTTCCTATTTGTCGTTTTACCCAATTTGTTGCTTTTCCTATTTGTTGCTTTTCCCATTTGTAGCTTTGCTCCATCTGTCGTTTTGCCCATCTGTCGATTTTCCGATTTGTTGTTTTTTCAATTTGCTGATTCGCCGATTTACCGATCTTCTAGGCTGTGACCGCTGTGAACACGTTTTTTTTTTTTTTTTCCTACCTCCGTTTTAAGTTAAGCTGTTTACAAAGCCTAGTAGTGTATAATTAAAAGAAAAGAACAGGAAACAAAAGAGTTGCACAGGATCCGCAAAAGGAACTCCACAGTAGCTTCACAAAAAAAAAAAAAAAAAAAAAAAAGGGCCACAAGAAATGGAAACGTGATTAGCCATAGTTAACACGTTACCAAAGAAGCGCAAAGGAAGCTTCATATTTATATATACATATATATGTACCTTCGTATATTATACGCCTATTTTACCTACACAATAATATTTGTTCGCCGCACATTGATCGAGCGTTGTATGAATCTGCATATATGTATTTAATTTATATAGCCGTGAAGGTACACACAGAAAAAAATTGTAGTAGCGCCTAACCGACTTTAGTTAAAAAAAAATATATATACACCTTTATGTATGTGCCTGCCCATGAATAATTTCTCTTCCAAAGTTGTTGCCGCATCAGTATTTAATTATAATTTAAAGCTTCTAAAGTTTTTTTTTTTTTTTTTTTTGTGATATCTTCTTAATCCCCAATTTTTTCTACTTTTGAATAAATTATATCATCATACCACATGTTGGCCGATTTGGTAAAAGATGAGCGACGACATGGAGAGTGGCAGAGACGACTGCGAGAATGAGAGCGACAACGAGTGCAAGGCTGGAGCGCCTGCTTCGTACTGCAATCTAGCTAATCGTTCCATACAACAAAAGGAAAAAACGCAGCACACATCGCACAGCTAAAATGTGTGCATAGGCTGTCTACCCAGCTGAGGAGATGTCCACACAAAAATCGTTACACCTTTATAAGCTGCTCACATTTGCATTGCCTTTTCCCCCTGTTACCTTTCCTTCCTGCAGGAAAACAAAATGAAATGGAATAAAAACTTCCAACCGAACAGCATATTTGTGTATAATTTTCCAAGTGAATGGAATGAAAATGACATAGAAAATGTAAGACGCGGAAATGGGGTGAACCCTAAACCCTGCATAAAGTTGTGGACTCATTGGGGCACACTGTTATGTGTGTCGCTTTACATGCAGGATTATTTTGTACATATGCATTTTTTTCCATATTCCTCCCCCCCCTTCAGAACTTTATGATTTTCGGAACCATAAACAATGTTATAATAGACAAGGATATAAACGTGTATGCCTACGTCCAATTTCACGATGGAGAGTCGTGTCAAAAGGCTATGGAAGTTATGAATGGGAAGGAAGTGAACGGAAAGGTTCTGAAGGTCACTACTAGAAAGGTGGTGGAAGAGTGCATGGACATGAATTCTACGAACATTGAAGCTTCACAGAAAAACCAGGTAAGGGGGAAAAACAAAAAAATGGACATACTTATGCGAATATGATGAGGAGATAATCTCCCCCCAAAAGCGTGAAAATAAATTCCTCCAAAAAAACACTCATTTATATTGTGCTTTTTTTTTCTTTCCGCTCCTTTTTAGCCAAATGGTGAAAGTAAAAAAACGACGCTCTTTGTTTTTTACCTGCCTCCCCATTGGAATGACCAAGATTTATTCGATGTAAGAGGGATGAATTGTTATTGTAGAGAATGGCCTTTTGGGGCAACACCAACTTCCATGCGCTTACGGCCATGTGGTATTGTACACACGTATAACTACTTTGATACTTATTCGTTCCCTTTTTTTTTCCCCCCCCCCCCCCACTTTGAAGAAATTTAAAATCTTCGGAAATTTGGAAAGCGCCACGGTCGCCAGGAAAAATGACAAAACGAGTAAAGGATACGGTTTTGTTGTTTACACGGACCCCCACAGCGCCACAATGGCCATATCAAATATGAACAAGGTGGAAGTGTACACCGGGAAACGACTCAAGGTGAGGATTCTTCCCCACTCGGGGAGATCACGCCCTGTAAAGAGGAACAGCTGGCAAAGCAAAACGACAAAAATGAACATACCAATCTTCATTCACCTTCCCGCCCCACTTTTTTTTTTTTTTTTTTAGGTGCTGTTAAAGTCTAGCTGTAACGAAAACATCAAGAAGAAAGTAAAACCCGGGTGCACCATTTTCGTTTTTTATTTACCAAATGACTGGAGTGATAAGGATTTGAAAAGGGTAAGACTTGCGCGAATGCCTAAATTGAGAATTAACAAAAAAAAGGGGGGAAAAAAACATATTAGTGTATAAAATGAATATACTTTTCACCCCATATATCAAATTATTCATGTGTCTCCTAATGTGTCCCCCTCGAAAATAATGCTCATGTGTAGCTTTCCTACACAATGTGCACCCCGCATTACTCACTCCCTTTTACTGTCTACCACCTCACTGTTATATTTGTGACGCCACCCCTTTTGTGCAGCATTTTTCGCACTACGGAAATATCTTGGGTGCAACGATAAAAAGAGAAACGAATGGAAAGAGCAGAGGATACGGCTTCATTAATTTCGAGAATCAGCAAAGTGCCATCAATGCCGTGGCCGGTATGAATGGATTCAACGCGGGAAACAAGTATTTAAAAGTCTCCATAAAAAAAGGGGAGGAACAGTAAGTATATTTAGTTGCAGAAAAATGGGGTTACCATTTCGGCAAAAAAAAAAAAAAATAAAAAAAAAAAAGGAATCGTTAGGAGGCGAACAAACATACACATTGTAAGCTGTGTAGTTCATGCCCCATTTTACAAGAAATAAATATTATATACATATATATATTTTTTTTTTTTTTCCAACCATTGCAGGTATTTGGCCCCACAGTACCTAAATATCGATCGAATGGGAAACAATGTAATTTAAAAATGCATACGAAAAAAGAAGCGTGCCGTTTTTTTTTTTTTTTTTTTTTTTTGGCGCGTGGGACGTTTGTATCTAAATGTCCCACACGTGCGTAATGTGGACAAAAGCGTCCTCTCTCCCGTGTGCTTCTATACATACATAATTGTTCTATACACGTAAATAAATGGTTACCCCCCCGTTTCTTCTCCTCCCCCAGGTGCAGTCCTACGGGTCACCACCTCCACCTCCACCACCTATGACATGCCATGGAAATGACTCACCCAACTTTGGAAACGGCGATATGTATCACATGCAGACCCCGATACCCAACACTAGATTCAGCACCAGAGTTCCACAAAACGACATGCACCAAACCTTTTTGAATTCGCAGTTTGGCCACTTCCCCTACAGCTTCTTCAAAAATAATGACCAGGCGCCATACATGCAGAGAACGTACAACAAGAATTTCAACATGGGAAAGACTTAAGCTGCTTAAGTCGCATGAAAGAGAGGAGGGTTTGTGGAGCTGATTTTTATTTAAGCATTTGTTGGGCCCGCCTCTATACCGGGCACAC